CGCAGCCAGGTAGAGCTGTTCAGCTGCTGCTACGCAGCTTTTCGGTTGGGATGTTGCGCACTACACGCCATCAATTCAGGTATCGGGAAACTCACTCGTCCCCGGCGGCTCCCTTTCCGGGCTGTGAGCGTAGAAGTTCTCGTGGGGGTGGCCGCCCGTCATACGGTCGCGCGTGAAGGGGTGCTAAGTTTTGGAGGTGTGGGTGTGACCCGTTATCTGCGCGTCCGCAGATAACGGTCTCGCAGTACGGGCCACAAATTCATTGATCCATAGATTGAACGAATTGCATACGATGTCTTCTGCATAGGCTTCTTAGGCCCTGCAGGTTTTGGGCCTCGGGGTATGCCCCAACGCCCGGATTATCCTCACGGCCCACTACTATGGGCCGGTCCTGAGGAGCCTTGTATAAAGGCGTTGTTAAGTTAAGCGGGTATTTTCCGTAGTCAGTTAAATATCCCGTAGTCGGCAAGACGATGACTTTGCCTTTCTTCCAGTCCTTCGGGAAGTGGGATGTCTGCAATATCCCATTGTAGAGTCGACCAAGCTCTACTAGGATTCTATTGGGCAGCTGTCGGAGTGCAGCGTTGGTAATCCCGTCGTGCCTTCCTACCCGTAACTTGCTGAGTACAGGTATAGTCAGCAAGATACGAATACTGTCTACACATTTGGGAAAAATATTAGTGCCAATCATTATTTTTCATAAGTCTGAAACATGTGGCTCTGCTGATTGAAGATCTTTAAATAAAGTTCAGCTCATTAGTTCCAGAACCAATTTACAACTAGACAAATAACATTATGCCCATCTGTTCAACTGATTTGCAAATCAACTCGGGCTTTTTGATCTTTTAGGAATTATTTTCATTTTGTATAAAAATGAACATGTATCAAAGAATTTTGATAGTTTAAGTCAAGTAACCAATGCACTTTTAATTGTATCAATCACAGGGTAAAAAAACTTTCATTTTAAATAATTCTTTAGGATCAGTTGGTGTCTGACACATGGTTGGCTTCGTACACAAATCATATTTAATTTCTTCGGGATCGGGCTGGCTTAAAAAATTAGATCAAATAAAAAATAGTTTCAAAATTCAGAGAAAATTTTCAAACAATAAGGCACATTTGGTAAATCCATAGATTCAGATTGCATAGCTTGTTTGTTTGCGTGAGCAGCTATGCAGGTCTAAAAAGACCAATTTCACTGCGACCTAACAGATCTATTGTGATCGCTGCTATGCCTATAGTTCACTGCTAAGCCCTATGTCTTCAATGAATAGAGTTGCTTAGCTGTGAGCAATTCACTTCTTCTGGGCGAAGTAGATAATTTCCCAGATGTTACGTTTACGCATTAAGGGTCCACAATCAGTTAGAATGTGCAGAGACGTTTTTTCCGTTAAGGAACACAAGCGGCACATCCTTGAGTTACTTCGTCCCAGGATTGCCATATGCTTTTTAAGATAACAGTGTCCAGTCAGGGCTCTTGCCAGAATGCGCAGTTTATTTATACCTAATCCCAGGGCTTCTGAAGCGAATTTACGATCAAATATCCGAATTAAGGTTTTAAAAGCCTGGTGTATCAGACCAGATATTAAGTGATTTTGTTAGTGACTTAGTTATTGTGATAAAGAGTTTCAAAGGTCAATCCGGCTAGACTTTTTAAGATTCCACAAAATGACTCGTTTCCAAATTGTGTGCTCTTTATGTCCTCCCGTGCGAGCTCATTGCCTACAATACCCGCGTAATACGGAACCCATCTTAAAATGGCCCTGTTGTTACATCCTAAGGCGTTTAAACTGCTCACATAGTCTCCAACTAGCTTCAATTTCACTAAGTTTGATATCAGCGCTAACAATGCTACTTGACTATCAGAGTTCATATAGATTATATGATTGACGTAGTGTTTTGCAGATCGATTTCCGCACACTAAAGTATGACTCAAATTTCTACCTGGAAGGTAGAGGTAACTTCTACTCTAATTCATAGTAAGTTTGAATTTGGACCATTTCACATAAATTCCAAAGCCTACGTCGTCGCCCATTTTTGACTCATCGGTGTACCTTGTAAGGCTACCGACCACACAGATAACCTGTCCATTTAGCCAATCTTTTCTGGAGGTTAGTTCCACCGTATACTTTTTCTTAAAAGTGTAGGAGAATGTCCCGTAACGCCGGACGGCACCTAGTGCCGGACACTTGTATTATCTCGATAAGTTACCACATGAACGACTCAAACACGGTTAAAAGAGAAGCAGGGGTACGTAGTGGTATAGGGTCATCAGATGCAGTTTGTCAATGATACTCAAGACAACATCAGGAGCCGTCCATTTCTGTTTTCGGCGGGAAAACACTGCGTCACTTAATAAGTAAATTAAAAACCAGGTAAGTATTACAGCTAAATTTATGTGTTGAATTCTTCATGGTATTTGTTAATTAAGGTAGGGCTCCATTATTATTCGTGGTCTATGAAATTTTTTGCAAATTTTGAAAACGGATTCGGTATAGATAGAAGAGGTGGACACAAAGTAGTTTCTTAACGCCGGACAGTGAATAAAATGTTTTTTCTTGTAAATAACTATATTTATTGTAGTAATTTTTGTAAGTTATTTAGAGAACAAAAGAACAGAGAAAGACTGAAATGCAAGAGAAGAATAGGAAAGGAACAAAAAGTTTACAATCTGCGATCAATTTTTTTCAAATAACTGGGTTTTAGAGTAGCTTCGTTGCGTCAAAATCCAAAAAAGCATTATAGGTGATAAGATATTGACATCGAACCATGGAGAAGAAGTGACGTTGCAACCAAAAATCCTTAGAGAGACACCTTCGAGCACGAAAAAAGAACGCCAAGCAGAAGCGTTTCTTGGTGAAAACTAAATTTAAAATAGCAAAAGAATAAAATCGGCAACACACTAAAGATGTGAAGGCCAAAGGAAGAAGTGAAGAAAAGGGCAAATAAGCCAAAGGAGTAAAAGTCAAGGGAAAAAGTGGAGATAAAGCTAAGAAAAAGCAATCACTGACTGAGGTATCTGAACTACTTGCGTAGTGTGTTAAAGACCACGACGAAGTTTGGAAAATGTGCTCCAGCTGCCATGGATGGGCTTATGAAGCATGTGCAGACATTTCTGAATATTCAGACGACTACATTTATGTAAATGCTGCCGGATGTTTTAAAAATGTCCAATGCTAGGGGTTCGAAGTGAAGTCCGTCCGGTACTATGTGCCACTTCGAGCGATTGCATTTTTTCACCAAAGTTTCATTTTTGTTTTTTAATAAGGAAAATAAAATTTTTCCTTACAAACAGGATTTCAAACTGAACGCAGCACTATCACAGCATTGGTAAATATCATTGATGATATACGATTAGGAATGGCAAAACAGTGAACCAACCTTTCTTTGAAATTTTTTGTGAAAATCGGTCTCTCGACGTATCTCCAACAGCAATTAGTTGGTTTCGGAGTTACCTGTCAGGCCACCATTAACGTATGTACACATCGAAAATACCTTTTCATCTTGGTGTGACCAGCACATGTGCTGGTGTTCCGCAGGGTGGAGTATTATTTCTTTTACTTTTTTGCAGTTTTTATAAACTCAATACCCAGTAAACAAACTTCTTTTTAATTAATAAAATTAACCATATTGAATAATGTAATTCAATATGGTTAATTTTATTTACTTAATTTTGTTACTTTCTTATATTGTTTCTTTTAACAGTTCAAATTTATATATACCATCTTAAAAGCACAAAGAAGATGCCAAGAGAACAGGAAATACTGTATTAAAAAAATACCCTGCATTAGTATTTTTTTATAAGATAAAAATGATAGTGAACAGAGATTCGAACTCACAATCTTTTGAGTTCGCGGTCTACTTACACTGTATTCTATCTCATTCTCTCGCAGGCTAAATCCTATAGAAGTATTTGTTTTTCTCTCTTTTGACTGTCGCTTTTTCGTTACATCGAGTTTCAAATCACAAAATACACACACACACACACACACACACACAAATATATATATATATATATATATATATATATATATATATATATATATATATATATATATATATCGACGCTTGAAATGCAACCCTCACTAAGCGACATTGAGTAAACTTTACAGGAGAATGATTTAAAGTTCAAATATTTAAAAAAAATCATAAAGAATCATAGATAAAATAATATATACATAAATAAATAAGATAAACAGGTAAAATTATCTAAATCCTCACTGTAGTGTGTGCAGTAATATGTCAAAATAGGTAAACTTACTGAGTTTAGAATTTTGATACAGAAAGATTGATCTTAAAAGATCTGAAAGTTTAAAATAAATCAAGTAAGTTTGCCTAAGCATTATTTAATGATTTTTGTGATATTGGAAAATGTATCTTAGTTATTAAAATTACCCCAAACCTCCCTTTGTAACTCAAATTTAACGAAGAACTGTATAGGTAATTATTATAATGCTCGAAAATTATAAATGAAATCAATTATTATTGAATAAAAGTCTTTATTGAAAATTAAACAAATACGCTACGTAGTGCCGACCATACAAAATTAATAAGGAAACTAATTATGACACATAAAATTCACTCCGAGATCAATATATTTTTTAATTGAACAATTATTATTGCTGTCGCAATTATAAATTACACTATCATCTTCATCACTCACTTCGAAAAAAAATATAACTTATAATTGTGAGTAAATTAATTATTAATAAACTATTAAACATAGTAAACAAACCAAATAACATTCTTACAAAATAACAGCAAGATTAACCTGCTGTGCAAAGTGTGAAAATTTTTGACACAATTATAAATATCACTGTAATTCTTACAATAACAACACTTATAGTTATTATTCTCACAACATAATAAGTCTCTAGAAACAATCAAGATATTTTTCATATCAAAAATATAGCAATATAAAAAATCCTTAATCTAATTGAACTCTTACAAAATAAATCTTTAGTACGAATTGCAACATGAGATCTTGTTAGTTACTCAATCTAAATATTAATATCACAATCTTCAATGTCTGATTCGGTTAGACAATCTTTAACATTTGTTGCGCGTGGAATGTTCACAAATTCATGTTTGAAGCAATTAGGAATAACTTTGTCCACGCAAAGTTTGACTAAATCGATATATTTAGCTTTTGATATGGGAAGTTGCGATCGATAACAAGGTAAAAGAGATACTTTGGTTTTAGAGTGAACTTCATTATCAAAGGAAGCCGCAGTAGGATTCATAGATGTTTTATATTTAATGCTTTGCTTGTCTTTTCTGAAAGTCATAATTCGGATCTTGCTTATTTTTCCAGTTAAGTTGCCTTTATAATATTTGTCACTAATACTATCCCATCTATAAAAATCTTCTACATCGAAAGGCGCTGGTTCTTGTCTAGCAGTTGCAAAAACTGTAAACCATTGTGATGATGCGTAAACAGTTGTATTCTTTAATCTGTTTTCAATAATAGCATGCACTGTATCTACGGGCATGTAAGTGTGTCCAGTAAAGAGAAACTTTATTTGAATAGTGTCGATATTTTTACACTCTGGTAATGATGAATGCAACATTGCCAACACGGTACGGTTGCGGTTTTGGCCCGGACAACAGTCACAATACAGAAGTAATCGAGTGACGTTTCCTCTGGTATCTACCGATTGAATATATTTGTGTAATATTGATGCAATCTTGTTAGCGCCACGCTTACCATTGCTCTCATCCTAGTAGTAACAGAAAATTTTACGAGTTCCATTTTCATAGAACATAGAATTACATACTACTAAGTATTGTTATAATCTACATTGAATAATTTCATAGAAATTATTCAATGTAGATTATAACAATACTTATTGAAAGTCTATTTTTTAATTTACCACTGGTTCGCAAAAAAAACCTCTGTCCTGGGAAGAACCAGCAAGAAACCCAGCGGGACTATTTTTTTTTAATAATAGCTTACAATCATGTTTACAATCAACAACACAAGACAAATTAGAAATAGCTTGGTAGCGATCACCCTTCCCAGGGGTTATTATCATCTATAAATTCCTTAATATTATAATAACCCTTTTTATACAAACTTAGTTTAATAACATTTTTGAAATTTATGTATGACAAATTTTGTATATTTTCTGGGATTTTGTTGTAAAAGCGTATACATCGCCCCAAGAATGAATTACTGACTCGGTGGAGTCGAGTAACTGGTACTACCAGCTTGTGTCTGCTCCTAGTATTTACAGAATGAATATCACTTATTTTCGCAAAACTACTTTTATTTTTGTGTACGTACATTACATTTTCATAAATGTATTGAGAGGCCAGAGTTAATATATTAATTTCCTTAAATTTTTGTCTCAGTGACTCTTTTGGTTTTAAATTATATATTGCTCTAATGGCCCTCTTCTGTAAAATAAATATAATTTCAAAATACCATACGACATAATGCTATGGAAATAACTGAAGTAAACTATTCTAGCTGTTTCAACACTGGTAAGAGTTCTAATCTTTTTTTACAGCATATACTGCAGAACTAGGTCTGCTAGCTAGTTTTGATATATGGGGGAGCCATTGAAGCTTTGCGCCCCGTGTGATTCCAAGAAAAATGGTGGTATCAACAAGACTAAGTTCCTCCCCATTTAAAATTACATTAGTATTGACATGTTTAACATTAGGAGTTACGAATTTCATACATTTAGTTTTAGTTCCATTCAAATGCAAATTATTAACATTAAACCAATTGACTAATTTAGCTATAGCATTATTTACTTCGTCGTAATTTAATAAGTGTCGTTTTAATTTGAAAATTAATGAAGTATCATCAGCAAATAATACCATATCATGGTTATCCCCTACTATGTAAGGTAAGTCATTAATATATACAAGAAACAGAAAGGGGCCGAGAATTGAGCCCTGAGGCACGCCCATTTGTACAATCGACCCGGAAGAACTCATACTATTAGTAACAACTTTTTGTGTTCTGTCACTTAAACATGAAATAATTAATTTAAGAGCATCATTTCTTACACAGTAGTGTTGAAGTTCCCTGATTAATGTTTCATGGTGAACACAATCGAAGGCTTTGGATAGGTCACAGAACACACCCAAAGCATCCTGTGAATTCTCCCATGCATTAAATATATATTCAATCAGCTCAACACCAGCATCAGTTGTCGAGCGACCCCTTGTGAAACCAAATTGATTTTTATGAAGTAAATTATTTACATTAAAAAACTTAACAATTGATCAAGAATAATTTTTTCAAAAAATTTTACTAAGTACAGAAATAGGTCTAAAATTAGCGGGGTCCAATGTACTACCAGATTTAAATAAAGGTATTACTTTACTATGCTTCATTAAATCAGGAAACACACCAGATTTGATACTACTATTAAAAATAATAGATAGTTGAGGTGCAATTGTATCTATTATAGACGCAATAACTTTAACAGAAATCCCCCACAGATCGGCGGTTCTCTTAATATCAATAGTCTTAAAATATTTTACAATATCTTTTGATGAAACTTTATGAAATGTAAAATTCTTTGTACACACATTTACATTTTGTTTAAGTAATGATTCGGCGACGGTAGGAGAAGAATTCAGTGACTTAGTGGTTAAGATCGGAATATCAGTAAAATATTTCTCAAAAACCATTGCAACGTCCTGATCTGATTTAGTTCATTTATTGTTAAAACTTAACTGGTAGTTTGAATTGCGAGAGTTGACCTTACCAGTTTCACTATTAATTGTACTCAATGTCATTTTAATTTTATTAGAAGCAGTCTTTATTTTGTTGCTTATATACAATGACTTGGCTAAGGAGCACACTCTTTTAAATATTTTGGAATATTTTTTTACATATTCCCTAAATTCGACGCTAGGATTATATGACCTTTCATTGTAAAGTTCATATAACCTTTGTCTACTCTTATGGACTTCTACTGTCGCCCATTCATTAAATGCTTTACGATTATTCAAGGAGAATGTTTTAGAAGTAAAAGTATTATTAAATTCATTGCAAATGAGCTTAAATAATGTTGCATACAAAAAAATTGGATTATTTTGGTATGAAAGTAATGGAAGTTTTTTTACTATGTTACTTCTAAACTTCTCCAAGCGATGTGCATTTACTGGAACAAACACTACTTTTTTATCTATAAATAAACACACAAACACACAAATTGTACACTACTAGTTTTCTACTGTAGTACAAAAGCATAAATTGTGCATAGGGTGTGTTGAGTACTTTTTTGAGATCAAAACTTGCACAAAGAGTTGAAGGATCATCCTTATGAATATTTTTGTGAACTTTAAAACGGGCTATAACTTTCTTCTTTTTTTTTCATGTTCTTCCTTTTCTCTTTACGTTTCGGGATTATTATTATTTTCGTATTAAAGACACTTAAGGCACTTATCTTTTTTAGGTACATGGAATCCAATGTTAAAATTATCTTGAAATATTTCACGAAAAATTCTATCACTTACTACGTCCACACCCTGGCTCACGTAATGCTGCTTATAAAGTTTATACAAGTTGGTGATATTTTTGTATTCTTGGGGAAGGTAAACTTTGCTTGAGTCTTGACGACAATAGTGCGAAGGTACAGCTGGTAAATTTTTGATGAACCTGTCAACGGTATCTATAGTGGATTTTTTAGTCTTATTTGGTGGCTCACATTTCCCTCTCATATCTTCTCGTGCACATCCCCAAGAAGCATTTTTTACTATACTGTAAATTGTTTTATCAGAAATGTTCAGAGTGGCTGCTAAAAATTGTTGGCAAACAAATCTTCTACCTTCTCCTTCGTTGATAAAATATTTGATAGTGTAGTTGCGCTTATTAGAATCGGTGCGTTTCCGTTTAATATTTTCTTTTTGAGACAGGGATACTAACCAATCACGGTGACGTGTTTTGTCAAGATTCCAAAAAAAAAAATTAAATAAGCTTTCTCTTCTTTCTTCAGACAGAGACCCGCAGTCATTGCCACATTTCTTGCCCGAACAAGGATTAGCCAATACAGTTTTTGCTGGTACAACGACACCTTTATTTGTTATATATTATTGACCAGAATTTTTATTTTTTGACCGTTCTTTTCTTGAATTGGATTTTTTTATTCTCCTCGCAGATTCTCCAACTACATCATCTTCGGTATTGGCAACGTCTTTGATTTTTGACCCCTTTTTAGTGTGCCTTTTATTTCTTTTAGATTTTTGTTCCTCTGACAGCAAATCATCTTCTAATGTTATTCCTTCTTGTCCTTCTGACCAATTATTTGAATCAGCTATGTCACCATAAAAAGTAGAAAAGTCTTCTTGATCTAACATATAGTCAATATATTTAATATCTTTCTTGGATTTTCTTTTACCAACTTTACTTTTAATTGGATTTGATACGATAGATTTTTTGCTTGGTCCTGTCGATGTAGACGGTACATCATGATCTGACGAAAGTGATGTATATTGTGTGTTTTTCTCAACTTGGTGATGATTCAAAGTCGGTTCTTCAATATCTGGTTCAGCAGTTAAAGTGATATTAAATTCGTGATCAACCGATATGCTTGTAGCATTAATCGATGCAGTTGTTTCAGTGTGATCTGTTGCGGTGCATACTAAACTATCGGCAAGAACCGGAAAAGCTAAATCTTTCGAAGTGTCAATGCTGATAGAAGCCGGCTCTAATTTTTTGTTAAACTGATTTATATTGCTATTAGTTGACCAAGCCACAGACCGCAAAAAAAAACAATTCGATGATGTCAGATTTATGCTGAGTATTTTTACTAAATAAACTTACACGATAAATAAATAGGTACTGAAACAAATTGTAAAAAATTGGTTACTTACTATGTTTAGATCATAACTCAATAGTCTTCGACACTGCGGAACATTCCTTGTTATGCCGGCATTGACCAACGCCATCTCGACTATGGGTGAACTACGTCGTTTCCGCTCGCGACTCATTTTTTGCTGCAAAGAAAAATAAAATTGACTTAAAATGAGTACTTTATTCTATCTAAAACGTAATAGAGTTTAAAAATAATCCGAAACGAAATGCTGTTTTGAAATAGGTACTACATTTGCATAATTTGATTGAATACCATGTTTCGTTTAATGCGCGTCAAAATGTGAAGTACGTCCTCCCCATAGATTACTGTATATATGTCCTCCCTAAGCGACAGTGGGCGCCTGAATAAGAACCCGTATAGACGTGTCACGACACGTGTCGCGATATGTCGCGCATACCTACACGACGTTTCTTAAACTCGAGCAGTTCCTTAAGCGTGATCCACACCTTCTGATCCTATCCTATTTCTAATCCTAAATAATCCTAAATAGGAGTCATTCTCTACACACTTTCCGATGTGAAGGTGACTCTGTGCAGACGTGATTCACATGGCTCCTACGTTGTTTAAACTACATAAGATTGTAATAGGAGTAGCAATATCAAGTACCGTCGTGGATACACGATAAAGGAGGAAAAAGAGAAGCTTATGAGCTGAAGAAATTTACAAACAGAGAAAAAGGTTTACACCTCTAAAAATGATTAAGGTTTTAAGGTCTAAACATTTTCGGACGTATTTAAGGATGAACAAAGAGTGTTTTTCTCAATTACTGAGTATGGTACGCTCATTTATCCAAAAGCAAAATACTATTCTGCGAGAGCAGTAAGTGCTGAAGAAATATTAATAGCGACTTTGAGATTCCTTTCTTCTGGTTGCAGCTATACTGACTTGATGTTCAATACTGCTATATCTCCTCATTTACTCTCACAAATAATACCAGAAACCCGTATAGCAATATATAAATGCTTATAGGAATATATAAAAGTATGAAATGAAATTTCCTATTACGTAATTATTTGTATTTATTTATTATTGTTACTTTATTATTAATCATAATTATTACCTACCGATATTCATTGTGCTTAGAATAATTGTAGTACTTATTTTTTAGTAAAAATAATAAAGTCTTTTAAAGCTCCTTGCACGTCATTAGATGTTGAGGAATGGGGCGGTGATGGAATGCTAATTACTGGAGGTTCCAAGGAATATGTGCATTCTTCGTTAATAACAGTTTCTGTTGCATTACACAATGGCAATGAATTTGAAGAAATATAGTCTGAATCACTACCAGTAAATGTCGATGTTTAATATGAAGAAGTGTATGATTGAATTGTGGAAGATGGATGATAAGCCTGTGAAGAATGAGAGGATGATGGAATAATTGTGTAACAATGGGATGATAACTGGTGCGGTTGTGGGGATGAAGAAGGTGATAGAGTAATTATGTACCGATGTGAAGATTACTGGTGCGGTTGTGGAAATGGAGAAGGTGATGGAGTGATTGTGTACTGATGGGATGGTGACTTGTGCGGTAAGTACGGTTGTGGAGATGGAGAGGGTAGATATGTAGGTTCGAAAGTTATTTGAGAATTTATTGTTAGTTTTTTCATTTTGGCATAGAAGAGAGCATCTGATATTATTTTTTGCGCAATGGCTGAGTGTTCTTCACTACCTGTTATTATTTTTTGAGCCTGATCTAAAATTTGAGACTCCTTCGTATAGAGGTCTTGTTTTTTTATCTTTATTTTAGTGGGTGGAACTGCGAAACCATCGTTTTGTGTTTAATTTCCAGTAATATGCAAATAAAATAAAATGAAATTAATTTTAGATGCCATCGACGACAGAGGAATGGATAGAAGTGAGCTCGGACTTTGAAAGGAAATGGAATTTCAATCATTGCGTAGGCGCAATCGACGGAAAACATATTGCAATTAAAAAGCCGCCCGATAGTGGATCACTTTTTTATAATTATAAGAAATTTTTTAGTGTTATTCTGTTAGCAGTAGTAAACGCTAATTATGAATTTATATACATTCACGTGGGTACAAACGGATGTGTTTCAGATAGTTTTGTGCTGCAACAGACTAAATTCTATGAGAAGTTGATGGAAGATGGGTTAAATTTACCAAATCCATCAACGTTAACAAATTCAAAAATTACTGCACCTTACGTTTTTGTAGAAGACAGTGCATTTGCGCTTGATAAAAACATTATGAAACCATTCCCTCTAAAGAACATAGCTCACGATAAGCGAATATTTAATTACAGGTTCTCAAGAGTTAGAAGGGTGGTGGAAAATGCATTCAGAATTCTATCTTCTAGATTTAGAATATTTCGTTGTGCTATTTCCATAGATATAGATAACGTGAACACAATTGTCTTAGCTAGTTGTGCATTACATAATTATTTATCAAGAAATAATAAAAAAATACATTAATATAACATGTCTCGATATTGAAAATTAATCTGAAGCGTCATTTAAAGTAGCACAATGGCGTAAAAAGACAACCGTAAGAAACGTAGAATGGCGTGAAACACATCCTTTAGTATCGCTTCGTCCACTTAAAAATCAGCGCAATGAGCAAGGAACTGAAGTGCGACAATCATTTACAAATTATTTCAATAATGAAGGCGTAGTTTTATTTCGCGAGCAAATGTTGTCGATTGTATCCCAATAAAAAATAATGATTTTCTAAAAAAAACTGTGTGTTATTTTCAAAATGAACTTACACTTCCACTACTGCCAGCACCATCATCCAAGCTCCTGACCAGTTCTTTGTGAAAGATCTTTTTCATCAAGAAATGTAAGGTATTCGTAGTACCAAAGCTTTGGACAGTAAATATCTTGAACTCCCGAGCCAGTTTTCATGGAATCTCTAACCTAAAACAAATAATTGAATGACGTGAGTACCGGACTTTGTATTTTTCATTTTTAGTAGACATTACGCATGAGGAGTACCTGAACATTAGCCCCGCCAGTTTGAAAAAAATACTCACCTTGTTTGATTCACGTTTGTACGTTGTTCTTAAATTATCAATTTTTTTTAATATCAGCTAATGTTTCATTTTTGTAAACTTGTTTGAAAACTTTTAAAAGTCTTTCATAGGACTTAGTTCTCAAGTCTCTATTTGAGTAATCTGCTGCCGAAGTGTCCCATAAGCATCTATCCGATTCTCCGATTTTGTAATAATAATAATAAAATTAGAACCTGTTGCACAATACATTATCCGATTTCATCCGATAATTAGGATCGGATCGGATAGAATCAGAAGGTGTGGATCATGCTTTAGCGACGAGAAAATAAATTTTGCGTACGGGTAAATTTATCTACGCGCGATACTTTTCATTCATTTAGCAAATCTAGTACGACTATCTGACCGACATCATTAATATTAACCGTTAACAAATAAAAATATCTAAGGATAAAAAAGAAATATTATGTTATACATGTAAAAATACCTAAGCTCTAATATTCTTAAACTTTTTTCAGGTTAATTATACAAATGACACTGTCACAAAATAAAATAACAAGTTAAAATACATAATCGCCTTCCCTTCGGAGCGCCGTAAAGTGCAGTTGTGTGATAAAAGTACTTCCCATTTTTAAATCATTTTTATATGAAATTTATTCAAATTAAATAGTGCGCTAAAAATAGGACTGCATAAACAACAAATAGTATACCTCCGCGTGAGTACATCTTTTGCAAAGTTCTTACATCCTAGTACTCAAACACTGCGCACGAGCAGCAACCACTATCTTCAAGGCGAGTCTCCACCCCTCACCCACCGTATGTTATATTTGTATGATTGGATCATTTAAACTCCGCCTGTTTAGAAATAGGCGTCGC